ACAGGTGAAAGAATTAGTTGATGAAGCAAAATCAGTTATTAAAATTCCATCTTTCCAGATTATCGTGTCCCAGGGTGTCATGGGCTCTTTCCCTTGGTCAGCTTTGTCATTTGCAGCCATGTGGTTGGAACTCACTGGTTTTTCTCACACAGAGACGGCAATTCTTATTGGGCTATTCACTATTGCTAGTTCAATAGGGGGGCTGTTTGGTGGTTGGCTGGGGGACAAATTGTCAAGGCGTTTACCTAATGCTGGAAGGATTATATTAGCACAGATAAGCTCTGGGTCAGCAATCCCTCTTACGGGTCTGCTTCTGTTGGTTTTACCTGATGATCCTTCTACTGCTGTGGCGCATGGCTTTCTCATGTTTATCACCGGGTTTTTCATATCCTGGAATGCTCCTGCCACTAACAAGTAAGTATTGGAGAATGTTATTATAATACAATATGGTTTGTTATTTTGCGTGCCACATAACATACAGTTCATATAGTAAAAAAGGCCTCTTGATGGAGGATGTTGCTGTGTCATGAACTACATTATAGGTTGATTGCAATAGAACAGTCTCTAATAAGTGCACTTATCGTCAATTAATTTGTCAAAGAATTGGAACAAAGAAAATTTAACACATATAAACTCATGATTGATGGTCCCAAGTGTTTTACTAACAATCTACAGAAATATACGTAGATAATTTTAAGAGCTAGCTCAACAGCCTATATAGGGTATTGTCATTTCCGAGGTGATCAAGTGAGATTAATGGTAGATTTTTTGGGCAGGAATGACTATCAACTGTAGCCTCAAAGACTGTTGGTTTCTTAAACCTTCATAATCTGGTTCATCTTTGTTTATATTTATGGTGTGTTATTGTTGCCTGGTATCAATGCATCTTTGTTAACCAATTTGACCATTGGATTTTGTGTTTTCTTTGTGGTTTTATTTTTTTGTTTGGATTTAAATATTTAGACTTATCTGTGTTATATTATCTCTCCAAAAAGAGAATGTTTTTGTTCAAGATTTTAAATGCTGTGCGCAGTCCAATATTTGCAGAGATTGTTCCTGAAAAATCAAGAACAAGTATCTATGCATTGGATCGATCATTTGAGTCAATACTTTCATCTTTTGCACCGCCTGTTGTTGGCATATTGGCTCAGCATGTCTATGGTTACAAGCCCGTATCTAAAGGATCCACTATCACAGAAGAAATAGCAACAGATCGAGCAAATGCTGCATCATTAGCCAGCGCTCTTTATGTTGCAATAGCTATTCCAATATCCTTATGCTGCATCATCTACTCATTCTTGTATTGCACATACCCAAGAGATAAGGAGCGTGCCCAAATGCAGGCTTTAGTAGAGTCTGAGATGCAGCAACTGGAGGCTGATAACCTGATTGAAGGGCAATACACTTTGGCAGAAATATCGAAATCTGAAGAGTTGCTTTTCGAGGATGGAAGCATTGAGATGGATTACAAAGTGGGAGACGGTGATGCAAGAGTGTTGCTTCATCATCGATAGTTGATGTCATCTAGGATGATGATGCTTTAATATAATGTAACTTTAGGCGACAAAAATGTCTGATATTTTTGAAGTTTACACTCAACTCTCATGGTAGCTGCAAAGTTTTTCCATGAAAGATTAGGATATTTTGAGTTGCAATGCAAAAGGAAAACATGTAAAGAACAAACTGTATTTTTGTCAATGTACAGAATAGGATTTGTTACCTTATTTGCATCAATTTTCTGTTCTTGTAAATTTAGGTCATGTAATATCGATAACAATTCAGATTCGTGTCTGCTAATTTAGATCGGTTGATTGGATATGGGTCACTCTTGTCTAAGTCTATAATGTACTTATATCTGCTGCGTCAAAACTTCTGCAGGAACAGCAGAGCAGCATTGTATGATGTCTAATTCTATGGTGTAGTATTTTTTTCATTAGATGGTGTAGTGCTGTATACATGCTTTACCATCGATCAGTTCTTATAAGTTATCTAACCTCTATTTCAAGTATTGACAGGATCAGCTTTCAAGTTGGATGTATCTTATTAAACGTTCAACAGAATTACGGAAACAGGAAAAAGGGAAGGAAAGATCATGTTGTTTAGAGTTATTTGCAACTTTGTTTTTTTTTTGAGGAAAAACCCTATAATTTGCAATCTGCATGCCTGCTAATTTCTCGAAGTGAATGTTTTCATTATCGAAATGATCTAAACTGTAACGATCGTTTTCTGCTCGACTGTTTTGGGTATCCTGTGAAGAGTAGGAGGCATTCTTCGGAGCGTTAAGGGCTAAGGTGATAATTTGTTAGCTGTCAAATTTAGGGGTTTCTTCATCATCTAGTGTTCCTCAGATATCTTTTACCAGAGTATGTGGGAAATTATTTAAATTGTACTTTGTATTTGACACTCTCTATGCTCCAGAAAAGCTCCCCTTATACATGGATAAAATAGAATGAAACTTAAAATATCAAACATGCATAAGTTAGATCTAAACATAGGTGCAATTTTATAGGCTTATAAATACATCATAAGTGGATCTTGTTTAAACTGTTTTCCCACTTTTCCAATGGTAATTGTGCGTAAAAAATTATACTTTGTATTTAGTTTACAAAGCTTAATCATTTGCAATTGTTTCTTGAAAATCAAATCCTTTGTTCTTAACTCTCAACCTTATGATACTCATTACGCTCTTGAAATATTCCTCTTTTACATAGATAGTTAGATATGAATTGTGTGATTACATAATTATAGATTATTTATAATACTTACTTGATGTAAATCAAATTCTTTCCACTTTTTCTCGCGTTTATTTGTCGATCTATATACTCTTGAAACGTTCCTCTTTTACAAAGATAGGGATTATTTAACAAGACGGTGAATTAAACTTTAGCTAAACTAAGAGATTAAACATTTAAACCAACTCAAACTAGATCATACAGTAAGGTAGTGTTCACTTCATCAAAATTAACATGTCTAAACTTATTAATCCTAATCTTATATAAAATTATAAGCTTTGAATTTATCCGAACTTTTGAATTAAATCTTCATACTATTGAAATTATCTAACTTATTAGACCTGAATACGTGTAAATAGAGTGAGAAGAACAAGCAAGCATGAAACAACTTTGCCTTAATTACATGAATGATGCTTGAATTAGAGTGTTAGTTCGTGTTAGTAGGAGCATGATCTTAGTAGCGGTGAAATCAGTGATATTGTCTGTTAGTTAAGTATGAAGTCACCTAGATTATTAAAGATTATAATCCTCCCTATTTTCAAAGATGTTCTTAATCATTTTGCAAAAACTAGACACGTTAGTTACCATTTCAATTATACATTTATACCCTACGTGACTTGCATGTGCATTACGGACTGCTTTAAGAGAATTTAACACACTGTTTTACAAATAGGCAAGTGAGATGACATTTGGTAAATACATGTCTAAACAAGTGAAAGAAACACAAGAGCATCACCAAAAAAGAGGCACATATATATATATGATATACATCATTGAATAAAATGGTTCATTTAAATGTATGATGTATGAATTGATTAGCATAAATGGATTTTCCTAACAAATTAGGGAGGTGGTATCCTAAGCTAAATGAATACTCTCTCCGTCAATATTTTGCCTCATTGCAAAAATATAGGTCAATAACCATAAAATACTTCAATTTACAAAAGATAATATAGTCATGTATGATATTGTTGAATTCGTTTCATTGTATATTGGTGGGCTTGAACTAAGATGGTAGTAAAAAAAAATTAAAAAAAAAAAAAATCATAGTTGCTTGTCTTGATTTGTTTTCTAACTTTTTATATATATGTTATTTATATGTATCATACACTATTTTTAAGCTAGATTTGTTGATGAAAAATTTACTCCAACATTTGTTTTTCTTATTGCAATAATGCAATATATATATCTAAATATTAGACATAAAATATCATTAACTAATTCATTTGTAATGCAAGTTTGATGTACTAGATAGCGTAGAAGTCAAGATGTGTCCACAAAAATAATGAAAAAACTGTAATATAACATACTATATATCTATTAAACCTTATCTACCAGGCTATGAATGACAAAATCCATTTTTGAATAATGATTATAAAATGAAAGAAGAGTATATATAGTTATTCTTCAAGTAAGCATGCATGGTATATTGCTACACAATTTCTTATATGTGGCTGGCTACATTCAGTGTTATAGGGGTTACTCGGTTAGTGTTACATGTGTTACTAATCGTCAGTGTTACAGAAATTACTCGGACAATTTTATAAGAGTTACTATTCAATTAGTATTACTTAGTTTATTTTTTTAAACTGGTTATACGGTAAGACAGGTTGATATTGATATTGATATTGATATTGATATTGATATGTAGCTTTGTTTTATATTACGAAGAACATGATATGATCACCAGTCACCACCCTACTATGGCATAAATTTGTCCTATATTTATAAGTACGTTAAATCTTCCTTTTGGTATGTTATGTAAATCCTTTAATGAAGTGAATTTTCCTGATTTTGTTAGGAGTTTTGGTCCTTATGCTTGGTGAGAGGGAGCCAGTGAGGCAGCTGCTACTTGTCTTCTTCTTTCTGTTTTTACATACGTCATGACAAACTTCACCGACCTTTGCTTTCCCTTTCCTCTACCGCCTCTTTCACTTTCATCTCTTCCTTTCTTTTGCCATGCAATTCTATCTTTACTTTGGTCCCATACTCTCATATCTTTGTTACCCCTTGGGTCTTGTTTAGCGATTTGCGAGTCAGACACTTAAGAGGAACATAATTCTCACCTAAATAAAGATTCATATTCAATTCTATACCCGTTTGATCATATGTATTTGGTACATATTTAAGTACTCAGTGTCAGAATTATATACTTTGTATAATCTACACATTGGTAATAACACAAACCAACTTTTGTGCCAAGAAGAAATTGTTCTATTCAAAATCGACTAGAGATATTGTTTATCTAACAAGGTTAGGTCTTAAGCTTTGTTCTAATCAACTCATGTTATCTAAAATACTTATATTACTTTATTTGAAATACGTCAAAAAAGTTGAACTAAAGAGACCTAAACATAAACTTCCATATATTCCAATTTTATTCTCCACATACTAATTAAACCCCTGTCTTCACCTATATAAATACTACCTGGGCCTTTTCCCATACATCACTCCCAACCATACATTCACATGCTTTTGACTTTGTCTTCACTACTCCTACTATAAGAACTCCTACAACTAACACTACAACAAATAAAATCAGCTCCTACTATAAGAACTCCTTTCAATTTGCTCTATTTCAACCAAGATGATGACTGTATTAGTGCTACTAGTGCAGTTTTTGATTAGTGTTTGTAATGGAGAAAGCTTTGATCAAGATTTTAAGATAACATGGGGAAATGATAGAGGAAAGATTATCAATAATGGACAACTTTTAACTCTTACTCTTGATAATCTTTCAGGTTCTGGTTTTGAATCTAATAAGGAGTTTCACTTTGGTAAGATTGATATGCAAATCAAGCTCGTCCCTGGCAACTCTGCTGGCACTGTCACCGCGTATTATGTACTACTTACTTGCTATCTATATATAATATTCCTTTATATCAAATAACGAAAATAGTACATTTTTTCATATTAGCACTTAGAACCTCAACTTAATTTCAGTTCATTTCAGTTTAGTTGCTAATTTCCTTCTCTCGTAAACAATTCAGTTCAATTCTGCTCAGTTCAGTAAATTAGAATAGACTCTTGATGAATTAACTTTGTGTCTGTATTTTTATGTCAACTAAACTATCACTGCTTGAAGTCTGGGCGATATTTAATTATAATTATGTGTGTTTTGTTTCTTAGCTATCGTCTCAAGGTGATACTCATGATGAGATTGATTATGAATTTCTTGGGAACGTGACGGGTGAACCTTACACTGTGCACACCAATGTGTATGCTGAAGGGAAAGGAGAAAGAGAGCAGCAATTTCACCTTTGGTTTGATCCAACTAAAGATTTTCATACTTACTCCATCCTTTGGAATCCCCAAACTATCATGTAAGAAGTTCATTACTCCTTTATTATACTCGTTCCTTTTCATGTTAGTTACATATATATTTGGTAGGATTAATGTTTTGTGAGTTTAGTAGTAGAATCGTGGTAGAGTAGTAGATAAAGTTGTTATTTGTAGGCTGTGAATAATTCTCATTTTAAGTTAATACTTCGTATAATCGTATTATTTGTGTGTGTTGAGACTACTTGATATTATTAAGTTGATAGGCCCCTTGAAAGTTGTGTCTAATGATAAGGATTGAGCCTTTTAAGTTGGGGGTTCAATTGAGGGTAGGAATTTCACTTAACCTTTCTCCTACTCTTAAAGTGTCTAGCCTTTAAACTCAGCCGAATTGACCTGTGAATGATTCCGATCTGATAAGGCAGTTTATCATACCTATCAAATTAATATATGGAGCGCTACAAGTTGAAAGGTTCCAGTTTTAAGCCAAAAATGAAAATATGGTCATTAGTCTCATTACAGAAATTATATAGGAAGTAAAGTACTATAGGTAGCACAAGTTATTACTGTACAAATATTGACTATACTTTCTTGGGCCAGGCCATATTGAGACAGATTTTTGGGCCTTAGCTTAAGTTCCTGTCTTTGATTGTGTAGGGGTCTCAACATAACTGTATCCTCATACAAATTTGATGTAAAGTTTACATTTTAGACGATTTTGTAAAAGTTTTCGGTGGACTCTAAGACTAAATTCATCACTGCTTTTTATGACTCTTTTAACACGGAAAAGAATATTACAGTACATCACAAATAAAATCACTTAAAAGATAACATTGGATTGTAACTCGAAGTATTTTTGATTTTTGTTATTCCAAAAATGATTGTAGATTTGCCATAGATGAGATTCCCATAAGAGAATTCAAGAATAGAGAACAAATGGGCATCCCATTCCCTAAGGCTCATGCAATGAGACTCTATTCAAGCATATGGAATGCTGATCAATGGGCAACTCAAGGAGGCCGGATCAAAACCGATTGGAGTCAAGCTCCGTTTAGTTCAACTTACAAGAATTTCAAGGCCGAAGCTTGTGTTAGGTTCGGTGGAACAACATCATGTCACCCTCAAACCGTTAACTGGATGACTCGGAAGCTAGATGGTTCGAGCATAGATAGGCTTAATTGGGTGAGGAAGAACTTCATGATTTATAACTATTGCATTGATAACAAGAGGTTCCCTCAAGGCCTTCCTAAGGAATGTAACGCCATCGACTAAGTAAATAGAATCAATACCATATAGTAATAATATATCGGTTTAGTATATCCTATGTTAATTTCATTTTCTTGTGTTTCTCTTTAATTTTAAGCTAAGGTTAAAATAAATACTACGTATGTTGTTTAGTATATATGGTAGATTTGGTTCATCGTTGTTGTAAAGGGTTAACATGTACAGTAATAAGTTTAACCCTTTTGCAATTTTAGTTTGTATTTAGTGATGATCAATGAAGACATAATTGGGTATCTAATTAAGCTACCATCTTCGGCATATCTCAACTTGCAAGAATTGCAACAATAGCAAATTTTATTTAAACATCACTAACATGAATATGAACATAGAGTAAGGTATATCGAGTGCACTTCAATTCTACTCATAAATCATACGGAGTACTCCCTCCGTTTTTAAATACTTGCTCCGCTTTTTTTTTTTCCGGTTGTTTTTTGTTGAAGCATAATGGTTTTGATGATGAGGAACTTAAACTAAAAGCAAACTCAACTAATAAAGATTCTCTAGTGTGTGATTAGTCAAGGTGCAGATTAATCTTGGTGATTGAAGAACCATCTGAATCTAAGAAGACATGAAGAAGATCTTTATTGAAGAAGTTAAACAAATCAGAGGAAGAGTTCTCTAACAAGAACTAAGTTCCCTAACAGGAATATTCCCTAACAGGAACTTGAAGACTAGCAGTTAAGTTCTTTGGTGGAACTTGATATGCTTGGAGCCCAAGTAATTTACCTGATCAAAGTATGGCGCAGCAACAATAGTTAAGGTTTTATCTTAGAAATTATTGTTAATATGGTAAGTAGGTTAGTGCACGAAATTTATTAGAAACGTGATAAGTTTGCTTGGTAAATAAAATAAATATGGAAAATAATAAAAGATAGATTTTATGAAAAGATTTTCTAAAAAGATTATTTTCTCTAAAGTCGATTTATTAAAAAGATAAGTCTTCTTAATAAATATCTTTTTAAACTTATTTTCGGAAAAGATTTTATTCCACTTGATTTGCTAAAACCGTGTTTAAAAGATAAGTTAAGTTAACATATTTATCTTTTCAGAAAACCTACTTTCTATACGAGTGTTACTTGTATAAATAGTAGAGAGCAAAATGATTTAGGTTTTTGTGAGTTTATGCGTGGAGAAATCACAGTGCTTTAATTGAGTAAGTTTACCAAGCTTCTAACTTATCATATTAGTTTCGGATTTCGTGCATTGCTTACCTATCATACTAGGTGTCTTATATTTGTATTGGTTATTTGGGTGAATTTATAGTTTGTGTTACATACAGTTTTGTGTTAGCTTCAAGGTGAGGCTGTGAGTTTTGTACTGGGGTAGTACGAGTAGTTGTGCTTTGGTAGTACGTGTAGTACTTTGGTGGTACGAGTGAATCTAAGTGTGGTACTTAGATTGGGTAGGATAGGGTCCTATCAAGTAGCAAGTCCAGTGAGGAACTTGTGAAATAAAGGTCTGTGTCTAATAGGTTGTAACTTGGTGTTTGCCCTATTATAGTGAAGTGTTTTGTGTTTGAAATCCCTAAGGTAGGGTCGAGGTTTTACTTCCAGTTGGGCCCTGGAAGGTTTCCTCGTAAAATCTGTGTGTTTTATTAAGTTCCTATACGCATTGTTATTATCCGCAAAAAGTAGTCATTAGGAACTCTATACAATTCACCCCCCTCTTGTATTAATCGTCTCAACTAACATTTTTAAATACTTGCTCTATTTTCTTATTTGGAAAATTTTTACAATATTTAATTCAGTTATCTCACCTAATGGACTTAACATAAATCATATTTTATTAATTTCATATTTTCTCTCCTCCAATTCTCAGCACTCAACTACTTCTGTTTTTTACAATTATTTTCTTTCTCCTATTCCACTACCTCCATATTTTATTACTTTTGCTAATTTCTCCTAAAACTCCGCGCATAGAGAATTGCAGCAAGTATTTAAAAACAGAGGGACGATGTACTTTTTTTTTCTTTTGCAATTTATGTGGTTAAAGTAAAAAAAATAAAATAAAATAAAAATTGATATTTATTATGAGTAAACTTGTTAGAGCAACTCCAATGGTTGCTTTTAGGGATTAGCTTGCAATTTTAATAATTTGCAAGCTAATAGCCAAACCATTGGAGGATAGTTTAATAATTAGCTTGGCCAAGCTAATGCCAAGCAAATTAGCTTAGCTAAGCTAATTAGCTTAGAAATTAATTGTCTCTAATAAAATACTAATTATTTAAAAAATAAAGCTGAAAAATCTAAATGCTAATTAGCTTAACCATTGTGGCATAAATTAGCTAGATGGAAAAATAACTTTGCAATCCTAGGTGGCATGACAAGCTATTTTGACAATTAGTTTGCCGTTGGAGTTGCTCTTAATTACTGTTAGTTATTGATATTTGATACTTCGTATTTTGCTAGGTTTAATCAACGTAACTAATTGTATTTAATGTTTGTAAAATTGTTTTATAAATACGGAATTATATGTCCAATCTCAAATTCCTTTGTAACACGACAAACAACTATGCTTAGTAGTCACTACGGTTAAATTAGGTGGTAACATAACTTTATAAAATACTTCGTACTCAGTAAGTATTATAGTCTTATAGATGAAGCCCATGAAGGTGCATTACAATGTTCCTCAAGAAATTAAAGAAGTATGAGTAATTACAATACATGTTATGACAAAAAGTCTAGTGATAAGGATTGTAAAAGACTAGGTTTTTTCATACGGAGATCTTGCTGGCTAATTCATAATAATTTTATAGTAGTCATCCTAATTTTTATTGGTTATTTTTTAATGTCAAAATTAATTATAGATGTTTTTTTCATATTATTAAAATTTATATTTTTATATTTTTATTATAATTAACTTATGAATTATTTTTTAATTTCAGTAATAAAAAAAAAAACTGAATTTTAAAAATTAGGAAATTATAAAAAAAAATTCAAAAACTATTTCAAAATTTAGATAAATGATTTATAATTAATTTTGACATTAAAAATTAAATAAAAATTAGTATAGGCTAATTCAAACTAAGTTGATCCGTGTGATGTTTCAAAAAAAAAAAAGTTGATCCGTGTGAGATTTTAATCTTAGAGATCAGCCTTAAAAAAAAATTAAAAAAAAAAGGTGAAATCAACCATAGTCATTCCCCCATAAATAGGAGTGGTTAATTTAACATTTAACTAGCTGTCTAGTCGTAATGACTTCTTACCTAATGTAATGGATAAACTTTGAGCATACATGTAACACACGGCATTTAAAAGGATGTTAAGAATGAAGTTCAGTGTAAGAAAAGAAAACGGGATTCCTACTTTCTAGAATCATAAAAAAAAGGTCCATTCATAGAAACTCAATTGCTTTACCCTTCATAATTATGCTCTGCACTGTCTATAGTTTCTGATATCTACGTGTGAAAGACATAAATAAACATAATGCTATTAGAAGTCAAACCCAAAGGTCCGTGTATTAAAGATTATCCTATTTTTCTTTTTAGTTTATTCATTTGATTCTGTCTTATACAAAATATATATGCTAAATAGACACGGCCATACGGTATGCCGCTACATCCATGCATGAATTTAGAGTTAGGGTCTGTTCTCTTCAGCTTATTTTCAGTTCAGTTAAATTCAGTTCAACTCCAATAAGTTCAGTGTTGTTCAGTACTTCAGTTCTTATCTTAATTTCTTTCTCTTATAATATGTCCAGTTCAGCTCAGCTCAGCTCAATTCAGTCAATTAGAACAAGCCATTATTTCGTGAGCATAGGAGTATGTTAGTAGGTGCATAATAGCCAAATAAACCCTTCAAATTTAAGTTAAGAACAAATTAAACTATTGTACTAAACTTGAACGAGTAACAAGAACAGATTTGATTAAATTAGCATGCCATTCACATTAACAACAATGATATGGAATTAATAAAATAAAATTGCCTATCTTGATATCAAGCTTTGTGAATTGTAGCCATCTTAAAAGTGCTTTGAGTAAACTATACTTTTAAGTCATTAATTTTGCAAACAAAGGAAATGAGTCAAGAGTGTAGATGGAATATTGGGAAAAAATCACCTTTATAATTGTGATGCGGAAAAAAGTAAGATAAATATAATTATAAAAATTATTAAACTATTGAAAGATAGTATGAGTATCATATTAATTAAAGCTTTAGCAACTAATTCATCTCTTTAGTTAATTTTTTTAGTTATTTTTAAAAAAATAATAGGGAAAGAAAAGCAAGTTTATTATATTGTCCTACAATTTTCAATGTTGTCAAGCTCATGAGATAGACGTATATATAGTCACTAAATTCCTAAGTGTCATTGTTTGAACTAACCATTATATGATCGATACTTGTTGCATCATCAATCGCTTTAGCACCAACCACGCATGACTAGTTTTATATTTGAGTCTCAAATTAAAAAGAATAAAAATCAAGAACAACTTTCTATTGGAATATTTAAAATTGTCAAATTTAAGTTTGTAGAACACTTTATTAGGATGATTTTCTTACACGCCATTTTATTCTCAACGTTACAACGTAATCTTGTCCTTGAACTACTACTAGTAGTGATCGGCATAGGAATTTCAATGAGATAGGTTATCTCTATCAACAAACTTGGAAATACTCCATTACTACCTTTCCAAGCATGCTTTGCTAATTTGCCAACTAATCAATTGTCATATATATATCATAATTTATTATTTATATATAGAGTAATAGTTACCATTTGGAAAGAGAATCAAACACTTTATGTTGATCTAAGTGTTTCTACGAGGATCCAATGACCCGACTCCGAGATCCAAAGCTCGAGTGTATAACCCGCTTTGCTCCTATTGGCTAGATGAGAACCTACACACAGAACAGAGATTAGCTAGCCCCGGGGTGAATCCAGGGATAACCACTCCGATGACAAAGTCAGTAAGTGTTTAGAAGATGAAACGAAGAGAGAGAATCAAGAGAGAGAAAGAAGAGAGAGAGAGAGTGTGTAATCAATGCTACCTTTCTTATGAGGTAAAACCTGATTATTTATAGCTTGATTAAGTGACAGGTGGCTGCACAATATGCAAAGTAGTTTTCGCCACGTGTCAAGTTTGAAGATGACACGTGTCATCAGTTACCGAAAAGCCAATATGTATACTTATTCCATAACTGCCGATATAAACCAGAACAGCTAACGAGCCGGATTCGAGTAAGATATCGGCCTACCATATAATATCAGTCTAATGTAAATATCTCCCCATACACTAAGGTCTCGTTAATTTCATTCCGATTTATTTTACATAAATTAGTTCATATAGGTTAAGCTATGTTTTGATGAGCTAAAAAATTTCATATTATAACTGAAGAGAATTTCATATAAGTTCAGATAAAATCAATTTAGATAATTGCAAAAAAAAAAAAATAAGTTTTCTCTTCTGACCTAATAATTTCCGTATTATTTAGTGTAGACGATTTCATATTAATTAACTAATCAATGGAGCTAATGTTTTAGATAATTTCAGACAAAATAATTTAAATAAACCAAACCGAGCGTGCGATTTACTTTATTTTTGTTGTTGTTGTTGTTGTTAGTAAGGAGAAGGGTCATGTATCAAACCGAAATCTCTCACATGTCTTCCCAGCTCGGTTTATGTTTTCTTTATAGGTGTGTTTACAAATTTTAAATTCTTACGAGTAATAAATACACTCAAAAGTCAAAGGTGAGAAATGACCAAAATACCCTTACATGATGTCATGCAAGCAAGCAAGCAAGCATAAACCTTCCTCAGAAAGGCACTTGTGTCATTGTGTGTCTAGTCCCGTGGGACAAACACCAACACCGCGTCGTCTCAGCTCGCCTAATCTAATAGCCAATACTTGTCAACTCTCGTCTCCTTTCCATTAATAAAATTTTTAAAAATTCAAAGCTCACCAACATTTCTATTTATATTTTCTCCCCTTTTTCATGCTTTTTTTTTTTTCCCAATTTTCAAATATAATATCATCACTCGTATTAATACTTAATGCCCCATGCAAAGGCAACAGCTGTTTTTCAGTAATTTGAACCTTCTTTGCTACGTTCTTTACTAGTCTATTAATCGCCCGCCCTTATCTTTTGACCTTTCATATTTGCCCTATAAATATCCTTTCCATGCACATTTTTATAGCATCATCAAATCATATTAAACTCTTATAATATAACCTTCTTCATTTAATTCTACCAAACATATACTATTATACTTGTTTACACTTCCTAGCTAACTATGGCTTTCCACTCCATTTTTAATAGTGTTTTTCTAGTTGCTTCTTTGATTGTCGTGGCCTCCGCTGGTAGTTTGAACGAGAATTTCGACATCACTTGGGGTGACGGTCGTGCCCAATTTCTAAACAATGGCCAACTTCTTACCCTCACCCTTGACAAAACCTCTGGCTCGGGTTTTCAATCTAAGAACGAGTACCTATTTGGAAAAATCGATATGCAAATTAAACTTGTTCCGGGTAATTCTGCTGGTACTGTGACGGCTTATTATGTAAGTACATGTTACATATTTTAAATTCATATTTTCAATCCCTTACAATTAATTAATTACCATCATGCATATATTATGAAAATTATTGACGATTCATTAAATGTTGAATTTGCAGTTATCATCTGAAGGACCTACCCATGATGAGATAGACTTTGAATTCTTGGGTAATGTCACTGGTCAGCCTTACACTCTTCATACCAATGTTTTTAGCCAAGGCAAAGGCGAACGTGAACAACAATTCCGCCTTTGGTTCGATCCTACTACCGATTTCCACACTTATTCTATCCTCTGGAACCCCCAAAGGATTGTGTAAGTACACTAGTCCATACTCCCTCCGTTCAAAATTAATAATGTCAATTCTGTCACATTAGACACGTACTTTTATTTTAAACTAGTAACGTGACAGCTAAATTCAGACGTACTAAACTTTATGTTAATTTTTTTTGTTACAGATTTTCCGTAGATGGTACACCTATCAGAGAATTCAGGAACTTAGAATCAATGGGAATCCCATTCCCAAAGAACCAACCAATGAAGATATACTCGAGTCTATGGGACGCCGAAGATTGGGCAACACAAGGAGGAAGGATCAAGACAGACTGGAGCAAGGCTCCGTTCAGGGCATCATATAGAAACTTCAATGCTGATGCATGTGTTTCGAGGAACGGTCAATCTTCCTGCACCTCTGCCTCTCCCTGGATGAACCAGCAGCTCGACGCCACCGGTCAGAGTAGAATGCGATGGGTGCAGAAGAACTACATGATTTACAACTACTGCACTGATTTACAAAGGTTTCCTCAGGGTTTGCCTAAGGAGTGTACTGTCACACTGTCTTAAGCTTCAGAAAAAAAATATATGTTCTGTTTTGCTTTGCAAGTTTTGCTGTAGTAAATTTTTTATATGTTGAGTTTTGGGTTCTTTTTATGTAGTAGTGATTCGTTTGTTGTACAAAGTCACATATTTCATTCTAGTCAAGTTGTAATAAGGAAGTTGTATTACTTTTAATTTAATGATTTTGAATCGAATAATACGCTTTTAGACTTTCAGTTGATTTATTACTTAATTTTGAAATTAATAATCACAATACTTGATATTAGACCCTCGTACATAAGGTTGTGATCAAGTGATCAAATATAGACAAATTTACTAAAAGATGTGTCTTCAAAAAAATTTACTAAAAGATGTTAACAAATAGTTGAATTGTTGTTATACTTTTAACTTTTAACCATTATTCGCTTTTGGTACAATAAGAAATTATTGTGCAAAAAATGTATGTGCGACTATTATTTTTTTATAGTGACTGGGTGAATGTGACGACACTCAACACCCTTTTGGCTTAAATAATGTTCAGAGAATCAAATCGATCAAAATAAAAAGTAGTCGTATTAGGAGATCAAATTGTGGACGAAAGAGACACCTAAAAAAGCAATAGTGAGCAAATAGAAGATCCTTGAAGGTTCTTCACGGCGTCCAGCTGTCTAAGGAACAATTCTTGTTCATATACACAGGACCCAGTTATAATGCTACCAAATTCAACTCCTAAAAAGAGCTAATTATTCTTACTCTAGATTTTCCTATTTTATACAAGTACAATTATTCCAAATTTCAAAGCATACTTATATTCTTTAATACGGACAATCAATATTATTATGCGTGTCTCTAGAACTATTGAGCATTCAATGGTATTTAATCATCATTCATGCTACTGCTCTTTTAATTATTAAAAAAAATGCTTAAATAATTCATATAAAAAAGAATAAGGTAATGAGAATGTCTCCTATATGAAATACTAAATCCACGAGTTGCTTTTTCCTAGTTTTGGTAGAAGTTTTCATTTGAAATCTTAAATTATATGGTTTCTAAAACTTCTTATCATAAAAAAATATAAACATATATTCTAATTATTACTATTTTTGGCTCTTTACAGCTAAAATCCGGAATTTTCCACGTATATATTGTGTGTACATCTTATCATTTTGTTGTCTCTTTACAACTATTAATAGAGTATTGCGTATCAATTATACAATGCATGCATGTGTGTTTTGCATCTAATTTATAGGACTTGTAGAGAATGTGTGACACTTATGATTCATTAGAAATGATTAAACGGAAGTGAATATATTCTTAGTTTTTTAATTGTACTTTTTCCTTTCTAAGAAATAATTTGATTCATTGAAACACGTCATACAACATCTGCAGAGAAATATTCAAATCTCACTAATGACAAGTATCATAATAATTCATTAAACCACATTTGCATGTCTATATTAAATAATAATAAGGGGTTTTGAGAAGTGAAATATTGCTTGCTTCCCAAGTTTTCATACCCAATACATTCAAGTATTCAACCTACTTCATTCCCATATACAAGTACAGATTATACTCGTCCCCTTTACATCATTTCTACTCATTCCAATTTCCACTAATTCATTGCCATGTGTAAAATGAGGCAATGATCCCTACAAAATATAATTTGCAATTTCTCCATTATGCCCGTATACCCCACACGGTTACATCCAATCGGGTAAGATATTGATTTTTTTTTTTTTTTCATTTTTTTTCCTAAAAAACCATATTTGGTACTAATCACTAATCAATAAAAAATAAAATATAAATTAAAAAAAATTAAAAACAAGATAAACCCACCCCATTACTTAGTACTACTTAATTCTAATTTAATTTAATGAATACAAAATGAACAAAAGAAAATGGAGGGTTTAATTTATTGATATTCATTTGCATGCCTTTTATTATAATAACTATGAGAAAGTGAGGGATTTAGAATTGAAATTAAAAAAAGGTTAGCTTGCTTCTCATGTTTCCATACAAAAGAAATAAATCCAACACATTACATTTCATTCCAAATACAGATTGATTACTAAATTAAAATAATCTCGAATTATTCTTATACTCACTTTGGACTTCACTAATACTCCGCTCTTGTTCCCACTAATTCATTGCCATGTGTAAAATCAACTAATGAATTAAAAAAAAAATATGTTGAGCCCTACATTTCAATAAAAACAACCAAAAAAATAAAAATTTGAGCCCTACAAAACAATTTGTAAATTTATTTGTTATGTCCATATTCCCCCACACGGTCTCACCCAATACTAAAAGTTACAAATTGAAATCATTTTTTGCCTTTTTGATATAGTCATATATAACACTTGGTACTAATATAACCACCAATCAAATAAAATTACTATTTAAAATCTAAGTAAAACCCACCCCACTAGTTACTAGTTTACAAGATACAACTAATTAAACATAATTTGATTTGTTGAACCCTCCTCAAAAGGCACCGTCCTTTAATGTTTGGGCTCACTTAGCGTGTGTGACGCACATTATCCGCTATGAGGCGGCATCTTTGATCACCTCCCTTACCACATTTTCGGGTTGTTGACTAATGCCCACAACACAACCTTCCCTTATACCGTATACCTCTCATGTTTATTTAGTTGACACGTTTTTTTTAATTCATGTAAACTAATATATACTCCGTAAATTTTATCATTAGTATTTTTAATTAATTATCATTCTAATAAGCAAAAATAATTTAATTTTTGAGATAAATATCTAACAAGACTTTTATGATTATATTTTGCATTACATTTATTACAAAACACAGTTAAAAAAAGTGTGTAAATAGTATTAAAGTCAAATTATATCAGCTAAAATGAATTGGAGAAAGTTTTTTTTTTTTCTAAATTTCATATAGTACTACTCCAACTCCACCAGTCACTTTTATGGTTAACGTTTGAAAACTTTGACTATGAAAATATAATATAATATAATAATGATCATAACCATATCATGTGGAATGTTATTAAATTCGTCTTCATTTTTTAAGAAATTTTACTCAATTTACATTGAATATGTACATGGTTACAGATGTGTAATGTAGAACCGAGAAAATCAAAGTGTAACAATAAAAAAGAGACGGATAAAATACTAAACTAAGCAATACCCCCCATGCATTAGATGTACTAGTATGGTAATTTGATATCCAGCTGTTTCACCTCAATTTCACACGACGAAACTTCCAAGGCACAACCTCGCCACTAGACTTGTACGTAGTCAACCATACACTCGCTCTAACAACTTCACCAGCCGCCCCTCTTACTACTACGCCTATAAATTCCCTACTTCTTCCATTCTACTCATCACTCAAACATCTTTCATTTCATCAATTCCTTTTACCATCAAATATAAAGCAAGTTACAAAAATATTGTACTAGTCATTACTTTTAAGTATGGGTGTTGTTGCTCTTGTTCATGTTCTCGTAGTTGCCTCATTCGTTGCAACAGCTTTGTGTGCTGGTAATTTTAACCAGGATTTCGACATCACTTTTGGTGATGGTCGTGCTAAAATCGTAAACAATGGTCAACTCCTTACACTTTCTCTTGATAAATCCTCTGGCTCTGGATTTCGCTCTAAGAACGAGTACCTCTTTGGTAAAATCGATTTGAAAATTAAACTCGTCCCTAGGAACTCTGCTGGTACTGTTACTACCTATTACGTAAGTTTCTTTCCATACTCCAATAGTCCCTTTTGTAACAATTGTATCTCCACCCAACAATTACTTAGCTTATTGAGTTATTGATGTTGTGTATTTCTTGTATGTATTTACAGTTATCATCCGAAGGACCTAACCACGATGAGATAGATTTCGAGTTTTTGGGTAATGTCACCGGTCAACCTTACACCCTCCACACCAACGTTTTCGCCCAAGGGAAAGGTGGCCGGGAACAACAATTCCGCCTTTGGTTTGATCCTACCGCCGATTTTCACACCTATTCCATTCTTTGGAACCCCCAAAGGATCATGTAAGTTCCAAAAAAAAAAATACTTTTAATTTGTTACCTATGGTAACAGTAACACCACGTGACAATTTTATTTTAACATTATGCGTTACATTTAATTTCAGATTTACAGTCGATAATACACCAATCAGAGAGTTCAGAAACTGGGAATCCATTGGAGTCCCATTCCCTAAGAGCCAACCAATGAGGGTGTACTCGAGTCTATGGGACGCCGAGGATTGGGCTACACAAGGTGGACGAGTTAAGACAGATTGGTCCAAGGCACCATTTACAGCTTCCTACAGAAACTTCAATGCTAATGCTTGTATTATGTCCAATGGTAAATCTTCTTGTAGTGGCTCGAACCGTGGTTCCTCTTCTTCCTGGATGAACCAACAACTCGATTCCACGAGCCAGCAAAGGCTACGATGGGTGCAGAAGAATTACATGATTTACAACTATTGCACCGATTTTAAAAGGTTTCCTCAAGGTCTTCCTAAAGAATGTAGCTCCACCAAATAAGTTGTACTCCTACTTAATACGTAGTAATTCTTTTTAAAAGTGTAATTTATCTATAATGATTTGTTTTTGTAAGAAATTTCATGTGTAAAATTCATCAATATTCATTTATATATTAATGTAATGAAGCAGATTTCATGCAATAGAAAATTGAAATTAAATTATTTTATTTCTAGTAAATTTTCAAATTTTAACTTTTCTAAATTTTTATTGCATTTTTCGCTGTTGTATATTAAGTGTTTGTATTTTAGAAATTATCTATTGCCGTTGTTATAGGAGACTATGGGAGTGAAGGAGGGTAACATACTCCGTCAAACATATAAGACATTATTTCAACTTAACACCTATGAAATTGAAGTTAGACAGATATCTCGAAAAGACGCTTTTACCCTTAGTTGTCTGTGAGAAAGTACGAAATTAACCCCATAAGATACATTTCACGTTTATCAAGAAGAGAAACATGAAATTACCTGTTGTTATGTACTCTGTACTTTGTAAATAATTTCATTGGGGACTAACTACTATCTAGATTTCAGTATTTAGGGTCAATTGACCATATTGGTATAAAAGTTAACACCCTTATGACAGATTGGTATAAAAGTTATTGCCGGCGACATATTGGTATAAAAATTAACATGTGGCGACATATTAGTATATAAGTTAACAAATTGCGACATTTACCCCTATTTTCTCGTCGGAGGATATGCGTATGATACACGCGCTT